AGCACTCATCCTATACTGACAGTACAACACTTGTTCTATACTAACAGTACAACTTGATAGTATTCTATGTCTTTTTCATTACGCAAGCGATTTTTATAAATATATTCCGTATGCATTTGTTTTAAAGGTCACATGCAACGTAAAACACAACTTTGCGGATTCTGATACCTTTCGGTATGGACTTACCGAAACAAAGCGTCAAAAATGCAAATTCAACTTATAAAGTTGAAAAATAACGCGATGAAAAAAAACGCGCGAAATCGGAGTTCAAACGTTTCACTAATTTTCCCCAGACTTTTTCTGGGGAATACGGGTTTCAACAGCTGGGCTGCGCTCATAGCACGTGCGCAGTGAAATAGGTTCGCGCAACTTGGAAGCGGGCTGTCTGGTGAATACTCGGTGAAGGCTTTGGTGTGAGCTATTTTTCTAATGTTTTGTTGATATCTCACAGGCGAGCTTTTATATGTTATGACAGTAAATAAACTGTTTATATAATTTCATTTGTCTATTTCACCACACGCTCTTCTTTACCGAGTCACTTTCTCAGTTCGATACTTAAAAGCAATGTCATTATTTAGCGTTGACACAATTTCTAACTGTGATATAGATATGTCGCTGTCACAGACAAAACTCAATGTCTTGTTTTATTGACACCTGTGTGTCTGCCTGCCTGTCTGCTAATGACAACATTCAATACACAACTGCGATCACTGACCACATGCAATTTGAACTTAACACCAATCAGGCTATACACCATAAACAAAACGCATTGATTTATGGCCCGAGTTCGGTCTCTGTCACATTATGTAATTACACAGACAGGCAGGAGTGATACTTGAACACATGACATATTATGATGTCTGTTGATTGCAAAATGTTATACGCAAAAATTGAGCATGTATTTACAAAACAAAACATCTCTCTATATACACACACAATGAGCGGTGAAGGCGGCATCTGCTAAGAACCAGCCGTTACACTTGAGTGCACACCCACCCGCTCTGACAGGGTTCGGTATCCCAGCTGCTTCGTTTCGAGGGAGGTAAACCCAAGTACAAAATATTGCACTTTTGATTTGCGATTATACGCTTATGATTTTGTTTATTTGTTTTTTCATAATCAGCAATGCATATTATATGTCATGAAGAAGTGATAATTGTGTTTTAATTATGTTTGATTTTTTGGTTGCATGTGACCTTTAAACTTTCTGCATATCTAACATTTTAAATGCGTAATTGGTACGCAACAATTATTTTTCAATGCATAATTCTATGCGTATTTTACCCGGATACGCAGCTTATCTGGGTAAAACAGAGTTGTCCCTCACTGGCCCCCACGTTCACACCTTCTTAACGAGTTGTCCCACACTGGCCCCCACGTTTACACCTTCTTAACGAGTTGTCCCACACTGGCCCCCACGTTCACACCTTCTTAACGAGTTGTCCCACACTGACCCCCACGTTCACACCTTCTTAACGAGTTGTCCCACACTGACCCCCACGTTCACACCTTCTTAACGAGTTGTCCCACACTGGCCCTCATGTTCACACCTTCTTAACGAGTTGTCCCACACTGGCCCCCACGTTCACACCTTCTTAACGAGTTGTCCCACACTGGCCCCCACGTTCACACCTTCTTAACGAGTTATCCCGGAGTGGCCCCTCAATTTGGTTGTTACGTAACAGACAGAGGGGCCACTCTGGGAATACACTGTGTGATCGTCCGTGCACGTGTGTGTGTAGTTGGCCATGATTACTCTAGCCTACTGCAAACAAACAGTTACTGTACATTATCAAAATATGAATTCAGACATAACATTCAGGAATAACAGGTTGCCTTTATTAGAAGTATAAACGTTGACATAGAAACCGTACTATAATCCTTCCTCAGTAGTATTTAATGTTCTTATACCACTTTGTTTTATTCGAGGGTATAATATATGTACGTGTCATTATGTTCGGTTAATTACATTTCTGTTTATTGTAGCAAATCCGTGCTACTAACATACAATGTGTGTCATCATTGATCTGAGATATATACACACAGCTATCTATACATCTTGCGGCCATGAACGTAGCAATACAATAAAATTGATTTTGTGTCTCAACTGGATATCTAGTTCCAAGGTAAATTACTGCACGTTGATACAAAGTTTCCTGTTTCACATTTGCTACTGGGGCGATTTGGTAGCCTAATGGTTAAAGCAACAGCTCGTCATGCTGAAAACCCGGGTTTGATTCCCCACATGGGTACAATGTGTGAAGCCCATTTTGGGTGTCCTCCGCCAAGATATTGCTGGAGTATTGCTAAAAGCAGCATAAACCATATTCACTCACTCACATGGGATAAAAAGACAACTGTGTGAAAGTTTCGTTGAACAACTACATTTTAATACAACTTGCTACAGTCTACTGCACATTACCTTGTCATCAAAGTCTGAGTTACAAACTCTCCATTGTGATGGAGGTTGATAATTGCCCTTGAGGCTCAGCTTCAATACAACCTGATGAAGATGTTTCTTAACAAGGGGTAAGTCAGTCATCCAAGAGAGGCGGTTGGGTAGCCAAGTGGTTAAGGAATTCACTCGTCTTGCTGAAGACCCGAGTTCGATTCCCCACATGGGCACAATGTGTGAAGCCCATTTCTGGTATTCCCAGCCGTAAGGTTGCTGGAATATTGCTAAAAGCGGTATAAAAGTAAAACTCACTCACTCATCCAAAAGCCTCGACATCAAATTAGAATTGTTCTGCTAACAAACTCACTTAAAACACTTTCCACATGTCACTTGCAACATGAAAAAAATCCTCAAGAGTTACTTTTGACTTTCATAAGATGGGATTGAAACGAAATACAGAGGTTTTGACCATAAAAGCGAACATTGACTTTTAGTAGCAATATTTACCGTTTTCTCATTGGTATATTGTAGGGAAGCATACAACCCTGTGGAATCTCAATAAGTAAACTGTGCTTGACAAAATACTATCACCCCAACACAGAAGTTGTCTTTATCAAATAAAGATTTAGAAGTTATTATTAAAACAATCACTGACTCATGTTCATTACCAGTGTAGGAAAGATGTAGAAAATCTAGCCTGTCCACAGGACTGGCAGGTCAAATTTTTTACCAGTCCTGCCAAAATCTAGCCTGTCCTCCAAATATAAATAAAACACCTTCGGCAGTAAATATTCAAAAAGGTTATAATCATTATATATATGTCATTGGTTTGCTAAAATTGACCCGACATGAGGACGGACTAGATATTTTTATAACCCGTCCTCGACAAAATTCACCCGTCTCGGACGTTGGGACGGGCTATCTTTCCTACACTGTCATTACTTCTAAATGCCAGGGGGGCGCGGGGGTAGCCTAGTGGTTAAAGCGTTGGTTCATCACGTCGAAGAACCGGGTTCGAATCCCCACATGGATACAATGTGTGAAGCCCATTTCTGGTGTCCCCCGCCGTGATGTTGCTGGAATATTGCTAAAAGCGGCGTAAATCTATACTCCCTCACTCTAAATGCCATTCAAACAGCTCAGGAGACATCAACATAGGGCCGAAGCTGTAAAATTCAACTGAAGATGGATTAAGAATTAACACCTATACATTTCTGCTGAAAGGATCTGAGCATTATTTTGAGACCCTAAACATCTTTCTTTTCAGGACAGGTAGTGAGCTTGTTTTGTTAAGTATGTAGCATCAGTATATTTTGTTGGGGAATTTTCTCAGTCAAATCATATGTTGTGGTTCCATTATGAAGTTCAAATGTCATTAACAATAGTGTACACAACCTTGAACACCTTTTCCTGATCATATTCAGCATATTTATGAAGCTGTGAAGGATCGGTCATAAGACACTGAAGCCCTGTCACTTTCAACAATAATATGAGGATGGGTTGATGGGGAGTTTTGGGGGGCATGCATTATCTTCTCATGAATCATACTGTTGAAGACTCATTGTGGGATTGGTTTTAGTAACTTTCTGTAAACAATTTGTCATCTTTCATAAAGTTAACATTTATTTCTAATGATTGTGCGGCCATTTCAGTCAGCTGGGACGTCACAGGGCTTATTACAATATTTACTCACATACTTTGTTTTGGGAAGAAACAGCTGTATGTTGTGATAACATGTGCAGTAAGGGATTTCCATTTTGACAAATATAGTCTGCAAATAGTTGAAATCTTCCAGTCTTATGTTGAAGTGATTTTCATTTACTTTTATCGTTCCCCACTGTCTGTCGCTCCCCTCTTTTGTCAAGGTTGACTTGACTGATGTGTCACATGTGCACATGCTGTGAGGTAAAAATTTCAAAATTGCAATATGTCACATAGTCTGCTGAACTGATCTAAGAGATGACAGTACTAAAAATTAACTTTTTTTGACATGGCACGGGTAGGTTTTCAGAAAACAAAGTAGTTAGTAGTTACTGGTTTGACAAGGGATAATTGACTTTGCAGTGACAAATGTGTGGGCGATGGAGTTCAATTACAGTTCCGACTCTGTGGGTATTTCCATCTGTTGCTGGACTGAGCATTCTCAGGACAGCGTCTCATAAACAAATTAATTTCCCGCCTAGGTTCTCAACGCAATTAAGTACGCCACATGGTAGTATTATGCTCGCAAGAACAGCCACTTCTGTCCAACAGTACTTCTTGTATTACTGTTGAGTTTTATGCCGCTCTCAGCAATATTCCAGCTTTATGGCGGTGGTCTGAAAATAATCGAGTCCGGACCAGACAATCCAGTGATCAACAGCATGAGCATTCGATCTGCGCAATTGGGAACCGATGACGTGTCAACCTAGCCAGCGTTCGCTCGTCACACTGAAGACCCGGGTTCGATTCCCCACATGGGTACAATGTGTGAAGCCCATTTCGGGTGTCCACTGTCGTTATATTGCTGGAATATTGCTTAAAGCAACGTAAATACAATACTCATTTGATATACATATCCAAACATGTCATATGATTTTATACTTTATTCCTTTTCGTTGTTCAGGTACCAGCACAACTCAGATGATCAGGAAGGTCATTTTGGCTATGGCTGAACTGTAAGTATGTCTTGTATAGACTTAGTCTCTCACAGTCCCTGAACCATATTTTCCCTACAGCCTAGCCCTCCCTACAATGCTAAAGCCCTGAATGAAGCAAGTCTAGATTTCCCAGGTTCAGGTTCTGAATTTCTGGCCTGCCTGGGGTTTCTTTTCAATTTAAATGGGTTTATTTGTTACAATCAAAAGTTATATACATTCAGAGACTAAGCGTTAGTCTAATTTAGACTTTGCATTATCTGTGATATTATCTTTCCACTATCTATTGCTTGTTTCAACATTATTTATTTGGGCCTTTATAAATGTTCTCGCATGTCACAATTCATCAGTAACTTGTCATTGTTGTCATCAGCTCTCTAGGGAGCTGTTTGACATAGAGGTGTACAATGATGGAAAACAGTAGCGTATCAAATGTAGTTATGGATAGTTAAGATGAATCTAATTCAGTTATCCTGAAATTTTAGTGAAAAGAATGTTGTAGAAAGCATTATCATAAAGACACACAGATATACAAGGCCAGAAGAATTTTATTAAGGACTATATAGAGGAGGAGATGGCATGAAAAGACAATGTATCACTGCTATATGGGGGTTTCAAATTGAATAGAAAAACATTTTAGGGGAAGGGCATGTAAAAGTGCTACACAAGATGTGGATGGGCACCGCAAAATATGGCAGTGTCATCCCTTAGGGAAATATCTGAATTTTTCTCTTACGCTCTTAGTGTTTTCTTTAGCATGCGTTGAAATAGTTCTCATTTTTGGTTGAGTGAGTTATTCAAATGTCATTTGTTGCTCTGCTGATTGTGAATGCGTTGTCTATATTCCTTCCTTCAGCAAAGTGCTTGTTATCACTGAAGTGTACAATGTATGTCGGGCTGTGTGTATTTTTGCATCCATAACTGATTGTCCCCCTCAATCCATAGCTGGTTGTCCGCCACAACCCATAGCTGGTTGTCGCCTCAATCCAGAGCTGGCTGCCTCCTCAATCCTTAGCTGGCTGCCCCCTCAATCCATAGCTGGCTGCCCCCTCAATCATAGTTGGTTGTCCCCCACAATCCATAGCTGGCTGATCCCTCCCCCCCAATTCGTAGATAACTGCCTCCCTCAATCCACAGCTGGTTGTCCCCTCAATCCACAGCTGGTTGTCTTCCACAATCCATAGCTGGTTGTCCCCCTCAATCCACAGCCTGTTGTTCCCCTCAATCCATCGCTGGCTGTCCCCCCACAATCCATAGCTGGCTGCCTCCTCAATCCATAGCTGGCTGATCCCTCGCCCCCAATCCATAGATGACTGCCTCCCTAAATCCACAGCTGGTTGTCCCATCAATCCACAGCTGGTTGTCTTCCACAAACCACAGCTGGTTGTTCCCCTCAATCCATAGCTGGCTGTCCCCCCTCAATCCATAGCTGGCTGCCTCCTCAATCCATAGCTGGCTGATCTCTCCCCCTCAATCCACAGCTGGTTGTCCCTTCAATCCACAGTTGGTTGTCTTCCACAATCCACAGCTGGTTGTCGCCTCATTCCAGAGCTTGCTGCCTCCTCAATCCATAGTTGGTTGTCCCCCACAATCCATAGCTGGCTGATCCTTCCCCACCAATCCATAGATAACTGCCTCCCTCAATCTATTGCTGGTTACCTGCCCCCTTTGCAAATCCATTGCTTGTCAAGGACTACCAGAGCTCAATGATTTGACAGAAACCGTGCTGAGGCATAAGTCGTTTCACATATTTTTCGTTCAATTTCCAGATTCTATTTCTTGCAGGGTACGGTGATATATGTGGTACGAATGAGACTAGGGCATTAAGTAATATTCTGGCGTTCAAAAAGTCACTTCACTCACCTTCCAGATGTGATTTTTATGGAAATGTTAAAACCAAACTCACTTTTTTCTTAATTTCAGTGATCAGAGTAAACGGCCATGGGCTGCCATGATGCTTGTCGCCTCCTGGTTTACGCTGTCCTGTGTCCAAGATGTGTGCCTATTCTATTTCATGCAAACATCTGGTCAACTGGTAGGACCAAACAGTATTGTTTTTCTGCCAGTTGTACTTTCACTGGCAGTGCTTGTTCTGTGCTTGGCTTCACTTAAACTCGAATACCAGCAAAAGGAGAGCTCTTATTTAGAAACAATCTGTGTTATCGTTCTGACTCATCTCTCTGGTGTATTCCTTGCAAACATTTGGTTTCAAATTCCTGATGTCCAGTTTGGCATCGCGGGCGGACTGATGGAACCAGTAACAGCTCTTGTACTAATCTATATATGTACTGGGTACTTCGGAAACTCTACAAGGGCCTCAAGCTTGTGTATCATTTCTTTTGGGATGATCTTCTTCACAGTTAGTACATCCAGTTTTATCAAAATGGATAGGACAGTCCTCATCAAACTTCTCTGTGGAATGTTCTTCATATTAAGAAACATTAGCGTCAAGTATTTCCACGAAGAAAAGGTCCACATTATGCCCAGAACAAACAGGACGTTATTAGGCATCATTGGAGGCATGCCTGTCGTTGTCGTTGGACTTTCCTTGTACCTGGATCCGGTTTGGGCGCTTCCACTTGTGTTGGCAGTTGTTACCTGTGTCCTTCAAGCAGCCACAACCTACATAACATGCGCACTCCTTCTCGATAAATTCAGCATTACAACAGTTGCTGTTCTTAGTGCCGTTCTGCAGTTCACTGAGGCACAAGTTCTGGTGACATCATCGCGGACGCCAGTTGTCATGGCGATACTGGCGCTAGTGCTGCTGTGTGTGGGACTGTATGTCTATGCGCAGGAAACAGTGGATACTGGACATACCTTTCAGAGTCGGAAGATTGGTAAGTTGGAGTGGTCATGGTGCCAACATATTTGACTTGTTGACGCGTTAGACTGAATTTCACTTTTGTTTGCGGCTCAACATAGGATATCTGTTTTCTATAGAAATATGCTTTTGTCTGATAAAAGTCTTGTGAAAAACCACCCTGGAAATGTGGTGCTGCAATTTTGATATATACTGAGAGAAACAAATAAAGGATCACAGGAAAATGCAAGCGTTCCTTTAATATTTTCCAATTTTCATCACCATCTTTGAATAGCACTGTGGTCATGAAAACTGGAAAATAATAAAGGAACGCTTGAATTTTCCTGTGATCCTTTATTTGTTTTTCTCAGTATATTTAATCATGGCAGATAAATACTTTACTTGTATTTTATCACAGCCACACTTTTGAATTCAGACCGTACTTTGGTACTGTTTTCAAGTATTAAAATACCACTTTTTCAAGTATTAAAATACCACTTTTTCAAGTAGTAAGTATTAAAATACCACTTTTTCAAGCATACGATCTACTTATATGTTCGTCTACTCACATCTTACTGACTTTTATAAAACGTATGGATATGTTTAAGTCTTGGTGTCCCCTGACACAATGTTGCTGAAATGTTGCTAAATCGGTGTAAAGTTCCCTACTGTTGTATATACCATTTATTTGGGCCAGTTCTTACAACCATTATCAAATAATCTCCCTAATATGTTGTTTTCTACAGTGTCAACAAATGAGATGTTCACACGGATACAGTTTCTCCTCTTCTCTGCCAGTATATTTGGGGTTGTATTCTATGGTCTGCAGCCACGTGTGAGTCAGCGAGATCTCCAAACCCTCAGTTATGTGGGTTTGGACAAGGTCATCCGTCGGCTACTCAGCATTGACATGCCAGAGGAACACGAGCACTGACGACATGACCGAACTCTCGGGTGGTCAGTTCAACAGGAAATGTAGTACTTTAGGGGATAAGAAGTATTTTTGTACATAGGGTCTTTCAGTGAATATCCTTGATGCGGGTGATATGTCTTAAGTAGCTGGCCATGTGGTTTATAGAGGGAGGTGTTATACAATCTGGTGCTTAGTTTCAGTTAGACCTTTACACATTTAATAGTGTGATGTTTGAAACGTACATGCCTATGTGATATAATATTGTTAATTCCAGGATTGATGAAAATAAAGCATTCAGACTAGGCACTGATGCATTGTATACTCCCCAGGGAGTTGAGATTGATAATACGATGTGACGTTGAGATTGACATCCAATGATCGAGGGAACAAATACCAGCGCGCTTTGAGCATGCACTAGTTGCCTGGATATGTGCGCTATATAAATATATAATAATAATAATAATAATTGATGATACGGGACACCGACTATTAAAGCGGAAAGATTTCCAGCCTTAACAGTGTAGTATAACAAGATATAATATGTAGTACTATAGGAATACTGTAAGGGGGGTTTGGTATCTCGAGCAATGACCAGTCTGTCCAGAATGTAAAATATCAACAAAGTGTCCCACTTCAAAGAAACATGCCATCTACAATGACTGACAATACGTGAGTCATTGAGTTAAACAATTCAACCCCATATGTAGTTTTTTACATTTAATTCTTTTTAAAAATACACTACAAACATTTATTCAGTTCTCCATCATGAATTTGCCATTGTTACTAAGCACAACAGATTGTTTATTAATTTACTGGTGTGAGCTGGTGATAAATTACATAGTTTATACATGTATATTCGATATAAAGTATATACTCTAATGGATGAGAACATGCAATCAGTATGGCTCCAGGTGTGGTATAATGCTACGCATGACGTGACATAGGTTCACTGCTGGTAACAGCTAGACGAGACACATCAGTGACACAATGATCTATTTTATTTGTATTTCGAATGTCAGATAATGCTAGAGTCAGGGGTCAGATCCAAAAGCATTCATAGCATTACAGCCTATCGTACATCTGTACTTTAATAATAATAACAATAATAATAACGTGCTGCTTTGACATAGAAACAAACAAACCCGGCTGATAGAAACTACTGGGCAATGGTGATCAATCAATCAGAGTAAGCATCTTAAAAGAGATGTGTTTTTAAGAGTGTTTTGAACAGATCGAGGGGTTGCTGCAGATCGGAGGCTTAAAGGAAGAGTGTTCCACAGATCATCAGTTTACGAATGGTGCAGTACTACTAATGCTTTGTGGATGTGACCCCTAAAATACAGGTTTTATGTTTCTTCATCCTGTGAGTTGCCCTCCTGCTATTTGATCGGGTTTGTTGTCACACAAGCTGAGTTAATTTTGTGGGGGTCCAACCTCAGAGTGATTGGGTGGTTGGGCCAGACCAATTTTATTTCTTGTTCTACAGATTTTTTGTCCCCAGAAAACCTAAAGGCAGGAGGGGAAAAAACAAAATCACAAGTCAAAGCAAAACCCACATTTTTTCAATGGCAAAGAGGCCCATAAGCTTCCATTATATTAAAGTTGGTTTTGATTAGGTATATATGTAAAATCATAAGGCAAGTTGTACTGTTAGTATAGGACTAGTGTTGTACTGTCAGTAGAGGACAATTTTTATGAAATCATTTCCATTATATTTAAGTTGGTGATTAGGTATGACTATGAGAACTACAGTAAACTTCCTCAATGACATATACTTTGAGTAAAATGACAAATACGAGTAAAGCAGGAAACGGAAAATGAAATACCCACTCAACATTCATAATACCCACTCCAAAAAAATACAGTAGGTACAGTACCCACATGAGCTAAATCTTATCTGGAGCTCTGGGCATTGTTTTTCAAGTTCACACTCGCTGAGGTGCTCGAAGCACTGATTTCTACCACAAATATTGTTAGATAATTCAGTTTACAGTCTGAGAACAGATACCGGTGTTTTAGTGTCCAACAAACTGCCTTGTGTAGTCGAAAGTCTTGCTCCCAAATATCTTAACATTAGGATTTTATTTTTTGAACGGGGAAAATATAAAACAATTTTTTTTGTTTTTCTTATTCTTGAAAAAAAATACGACTCGCGGATACATAAAACAAGAAATAAAATTGGTCTGGCCTTACAACGTTATAACATTTACATGACAGATCAGATGGCATTAAACTCAAGAAACAGCATGATCTTCATGGTGTTACATAATACAAGGAGCGTATGACCCATGTGATGATGGTTTTACCAAACTTTTAATGGGTTCAAAGATTTACCTGACCATTCCAGGCTGTCCTGGGCCTACGCTTCTCTCAGCGGGTTTTAGCTGAGGGTAAACATGCAGGTGAAGTTACTGGAGGAAAGTCAGACTGCTGCATTACAACTCCAGATCTGTATTATTAAAGTGGCTATCCTATGTATATAACACATTGGTAAACGAAATATGTGAATGCGACGTCCAAGCCATGATGAAGTGGGTGACGGAATGCATATCGATGTAATCACTAATATTGCTGGGCTGCCATACAGTATGGAAAATATTCTAATATAAGCGTGTGTGTGTGTTTCTGTGTGTATATATACACCCTTGTGTATTTTTCTGTAATTTAATGATTAACTCCTTCTTGAACCACAATTATGAATAAAACGGAATCCTATGCATCCAATGTATATGTGAATGCACATGTTGATGAACTGAGTTACAACTTTGTAATTCCTCTAGCCGTATTGTGCGCACGGTTAGCCAAGTCATTGGAGCATTGTAAGCCGCAGTACAGAATTGCAACCCTTTATCAAACCAGGATACGCCAGTTTCGACCTGATCATGAACCTTCTTTGTAAGCACAAATGTGGTAAACAGATCTTTGTGCATATCTAATAATCAATTAGATATGACATATAGCACTTCATTATATACTACATCTGGCACACTGCCAAAAATACCAGTGACTTAACTTTGGATATATATCTGCTCGCCATTTAATCTGTAACAAGTTGTCATTTGTATGTATTTGACAATGTTTGTATAGTCGAGCACCATTGTCTCGATATTCATGGGACCAAGAAAAAATATCAAGTTATCTGACTGACTGACTGAGTTTAGTTTTACGCCGCTTTTTTAGCAATATTCCAGCAATATCACGGCGGGGGACACCAGAAATGGGCTTCACACATTGTGCCCATGTGGGGAATCGAACCCGGGCCTTCGGCGTGACGAGCCAACGCTTTAACCACTAGGCTACCCCACCGCCCCTCAAGTTATCTGAACTTCGAGACATCCGACCAGGGCATATCATCACATCTCACTATGAAAGAAACTATAAACCGTTATCAGTAGTGTTTAGTTGTAACAGAGTACTTCCTGGTTAATTCCTTCTTAAATAATCCTAATTAAATAACAAACAAGTGACACCTTCAACTCAATTAGCCCTAATTAACATATGTTATATTTCACCACTTTCTAAATGGCATTGTGTAATCATAGCCTAATTAGTTTACACTACCGCATCCCTTTGATTCATGCAGCACCATGTGGAAACGGGTGGAAACAACCTCAGTTTAGAGGGATACTTGCCCATGAATATGGAGTTTCTTTGCATATATCGAGTTAAAATGGTAATTTTGCATGTCGGGACCATGAAGTTATATCGAAATATCCAAAATATCGAGACATCGGTATTGAGTTAAAAGAGCTTGAATAATGATAAATTATGGAGGATTTTGCCGGGACTGAGATGTTATATCGACACAACCAAGATATCGAGTTATCACAGTTCGACACAACGGTGCTCGACTGTTGTTCAGCATCAGGTCTGTCAGCAAAAAGTGCTGGTTACAACTCTCAACAATGTTTCACGAGGTTTGAATTACAATAACAAAGTTTAATCACCTTATTCCCGACTGGAGCAATCATGTTTTTGTTGTGTGTTTTAACCCCACAATCAGCCATATGACAGTTACATGTGGGAGGTAGTCTCAACAAGACAATCCGGCATATGACATCACCAGCATAGGATGAGATGACAATGTTATCCAAGTCTGAGCACACAATCCTGTTTTTGGCCTACTTATAACATGAAGACGGCAGAGGCATCGTAAGATCTCATGGTCCATGGTGATCTATGGGTTACTGGCGATCCATACCCTGTTTATATAATGTATAACAGACTTAATTATAACTGTGATAGTCTAGTGGTTTCACTGCCCTCTGTCAACAGATTCAAAATTTTATATTTCTAAATGTATTTATGATTGTATAAACGCTATGTAGTTCCAATATTTCCGACTTGAAGCAGAATATTAACACACTAGCCATCCCTAACAAGCAAACGTTGCAGAAGACCAATTCTAACCGAAAGTTCGCAGTCTATTGTACGTACATAAAGAACATTATCTGCAAACAGCATTTCTGAATTCTAAGATTCAAGGCATCTTTTATGATGGTATTGAGACTACCTATGACAATATCGTATGACAATTTTCAATACCGATGACGCATCCTTTGTCTTGATACAACAGAAAACTTGACCTGTTCAGACCAGACTATTAAGTCAGTGGACACAACGGCTGCACGTGGGTAACACGTGCTTTGTACGTGCTAGCAATACAACTTCACGCACCCACCATTGATCCCTCTCCAACCTACTTACCTACTGTTAAGAACAGTACACTTTGCAACATCTGGACACGACAGGTATTGATCTACACCTCCAGATTTGTTCAATTGTCAATATGTTCACAGTACAGAAGCTGAACAAGTACCATAAATAATGTCCAGAATATTCCCTTGGTTTTGAATAGAAAGTGTTCCAAGTTTGAAAGGGAGTTAGAAGTTTCAGGTCTCACAAAAAGTCTGGGATAGAACTCCTTGATATATACTGAGTCAAAATAGAAACTTCACAAAATGTAATTTGAAAAATAATGAATAATTTTTCTCTTATGATACATCTATGTATCCGAAATGGGATCCCTATCTTTCGACTCTAGAAAGCGTTAGCAAAACCCACTCAAACCCATCCATTCGCCGTGCAAATGACGTTGGTGCCAAATCAGGTTTTGCACGTGCAGTCGATCACGTGATCTTCGCATCGAAGTTTTCTTCATATGCACGTGTTTGCATTGGCCTCAAGAATTGAAAAAACACTTTTAAACCACAATTCTAACGGTACTTGAAATGCCACGATTGTCAAATGTGCAACGTGAACGTGTCGTTGGCATGTTGCAAGCGGGAAGATCAGTTATTGACGTCGCAAGAGCAATGGGATGCAGCCGTCGTACTGTGTATGACTTGCGAGGTCGTCTACAACAAACTGGCACCGCTTCTGATCGCCCAAGGTCGGGTCGTCCACGTGTGACGTCACGAGCAGAAGACCGTCAAATCGTCCTACGTCACCTACGTGACAGATTTCTGCCGGCTACACGAACCAGGGCTGAGATATTTAGAGGTTGACTGCCCTCACAGACAATTCGAAATCGGTTGCGGGCTGGCAATCTCCATTCTCGACGTCCATATCGTGGGCCAATATTGACGCTGTTTCATCGTCTTTAGCGATGAATCCAGGTTTACCCTCAGATTCGCGGACGGCAGGCATAGAGTCTGGAGAGGACGTCGTGAACGGTATGCCCAATGTTGTGTACAGGAAGTCGACAGATTCGGGGGCGGAAGTTGCATGGTGTGGGGTGCTTTCTGTGGGAACAACCGTTCCCGACTTCTGGTCATCCGTGGAAACCTCACAGCTGCTGCTTACTGCGACCAGGTGCTCACCCCTGAACTCGTTCCTTTCATGGCGGCTCATGGCCCAGGTCTACAGTTCCAGCATGATAATGCTCGGCCGCATACCGCGATGTTGACACGAAATTTCCTTCAAAACGCTGGAATCAACGTCATGGACTGGCCATCGTGGTCCCCTGACCTTAATCCAATAGAGCACGTTTGGGATGCACTTGGGAGAAGGCTTCGTGGTCTTAGGAACCAACCTCAGAATTTGCAGGAACTTGGCGCTGCCTTGCAAGAGCAATGGCACAGAATCCCCAACCACGTGTTCACAAGCATCAGGCAGTCGATGAGGAGACGGTGTTTGGCAGTGGTGAATGCGCGGGGCGGCCATACACGATATTGAACTGAGAAATTTCGCATTTTTATTCTTGTGACTTGACATTCTGTATACCTATGTTTTGGAACGGCGGTGTAGCCTAATGGAACTGATTATGGCACTGTCAGTGTATCGAGTACATCACACAGATCTCAGCAATGAAATAATAACAATTTAACCATCTTACCATCTCTTGTTCTTTTATAGTGCCCTGAAGAAAGAATGTGAAGTTTCTTTTTTGACTCAGTATAACTATATAGCTGCTCCTCTCCGTGATATAACTATATAGCTGCTCCTCTCCGTGATACAACTATATAGCTGCTCCTCTCCGTGATATAACTATATACCTGCTCCTCTCCTTGATATAAATATATAGCTGCTCTTCTACTTGATTTCACTATATCGGTGATTCTAAGATGCCTAGCGGTTAGAACAATCGAAAAAAAAATACATTATCAGACAATAAAGGTATAGTTTTTTGATGACGTAACAATTGAATGACGTTATCCCGTCACTGCGCCATTCTAGTGTGCCCCCTCGTAATCGAACTATTTTACATTACGTCACAATGTAAGCGACGTCACGATGCATGTCAGTTGTCATCGCCTCGTACGGCCTCCTACAGTAAACTACACCGTTGCATCCAGTTTCTTGGTTTGCTGTTGCTTCACGCCGCTAATATCACTGGTGGAAACATTACGTTTATGTTTTACGACGGTTAAAATGTGTCATTTCGACTCACAAGTTTTCAGCGACATGGTAACGTTCGTAATGTTTACATTCCCACAATGCAATTCTGGAATGTCGCTTGACTACTCAACTTCCTCTGGATGTACTGATCTAAACTTACGCTGGTAGTAGAAATGCAACGTCCATATTGCCCCATATGGTTTACGTTAATGACAGATATAATTAAAATAATTCAGAGAAGATATTTAATCCGAAAGTAAACCGTCATCAAACTGTTATCATTTGTTTTTTTCTGGTAACTTTCGTCTTAACGTAGGGGGCAGACACATCAATAGAACAGCGCGCCAGTTAGCCCTGTGCGAGGATTCTTAATTTAGGTCACCGACACCGTCGTTTGTTTTCTGCCTTAAATTAATCGTAATTATCTTTAGAAAGTATTAAATTTGGCATCTTAGAAAAGAAATACACTTCGCCCTACCACCATGTATAGTGTAATAAAACACACTTTTGCCCTGAACTATTATAGTTAAAGCACGAGGACGCTTGCGTATACATAGTGGTAGAGCGAAGTGTATTTCTTAACTAACAGGATTGGGTGGTCTGTCAACAACCATGCTTTTGCACACACATATGTACATACCGAAGCCACATTAGACCTGGGTCATAGAGAAGCTTCAGCAAACAACTTTATTCTGAATACTGGTACAAGTAAATGTACAGCCTATGGGCTGGATACAATGTGATCAATGTAACACATTTGAAACATCAGTTACAAACGACATGAAAGTTGGCAGATTTCCTAAAATGTCTGTAGCAGGGAGAAAGGTTTTCAAGAAACACATAATTCATCTGAAACCTGAACTTCATTCAGTCAAGTATGTTAACCTATAATATGTCATACATTTGAACTTCACACAGTCAAGTATGTTAACACAAAAAGCCATACATCCTAAACAAACCTGAAAATGATGAAAAATGCATGGTGATTTACATTATTTGCTAAAGAAGTTCCGCCCCTCAAAATCCAGAAGAAAACCTGACATGGTCACAATTTCAATCTTGAATAGCACTATAGGTTCTACAGCATGACAAAAATGTACTGTCATATACGTTTCACAAATATGACTAGTGAAAACTAAATATCACACACAGGTCTAAGGACAGAAGACAATGTCACATAATGTAAAAACATCAGTATATCAGTACCAGGTTCCATAAACCCGTGAAGGTCCGGGTTAGAATTGATCTTAAGTAACCCATGCTTGTTGTAAGAGGCGACTAACGGGATCGGGTGGTGGTCAGGCTAGCTGACTTGGTTGACACGTTATTGTATCCCAATTGCTTAGATTGATGCTCATGCTGTTGATCACCGGATTGTCTGGTCCAGACTCGATTATTTACAGAGTGTGGTGTTCAACAACAACCAACCAGGCTCTATTGCTCACATAATATAAAGTTATTTAACAATGTTTAAAAAAAGTATGAGTTTGTGTATTTCAGTGATACCACTGCATGAAAACAACGCCAGGAGCACCATATGGTGCAGACAAATCTAATGTTGTAATTAACTTATGACTATCTTAGCGCTAAGAGAGCTTCGAAAATATAGGCCGCTATCCACAAAATGTTTGTAGTGCTATGTGAGTGAGTGATCATGTGATAAACTATAGAGTTCCGACAGGTCATAACGATACGAATGCTTTGTGGATCAGGGCCTAGATTTTCGAAGCACTAAGATAGTCGTAAGTACCAGACATTAACATTAACTTACGACTATCTTAGCTCTAAGAGAGCTTTGGATCAAACATTTGGATCAAACATGAAAAATCTCTATAAACAAATAAGGTATCACCCTTGGAATTGACTGCATTTTGAACTTGACTCCTATTTACAGCACATGGAAGTTTCCAGTTCATTTTTTATTGGAAAGACCAAAAGACACGTGATATCCACATGGCTGTATCTGTATCATGTCCAACACTTTTCCCAAAGATTTCAATATGCCAGGTAGAAGAATTACAGTTCCAGCTTGTCTCAGTCTGGTTGAAGTAAAACGTTTCAAAGTACTTTGGAAACATCTGTTTGTGACAGTTTGGTTTCGTTTTTCATTTGAATAGCTGGTTCAAAGGACTGTACCTTGGAGATGGCTGAATCTATCAATTTGGAGGACAGGCTCGGCTGGTGGATGCCATACCTGCAAATAATGAATATTGTTCACTTCAATAAGTGGAGGGATGGTGGGGTAGCCTAGTGGTTAAAGCATTCTCTCGTCATGCCAAAGACCCGGGTTCAATTCCCCACATGGGTACAATGTGTGAAGCCCATTTCTGGTGCCCCCCACCATGATATTGCTGGAATATTGTAAAAAGCAGCATAAAGCCCAACTCACTCACTGACTCAATGAGTGGATGCAATAGTAAGAAATGAAAATTACTCATTTTATTGAGTGAGTGAACTGTATTTTAGGTATATATCCACCGTTACATGTATGTGGAAACAATTAAAGGTTCTCCAACCAGCATAGACAAGCCAGCTAACTCAGATTACTGATATGAGGTGAGGTGAGATGAGGTGAAATTGGGTTTAACGTCGTGCTTGAGAATATTTTGCTCATATAACGACATGCATGCATGTGGATGTGGATGTGTATGTGTGGCTGCTTGTACTAGCCCAGACTTAAGCTGGTTTTATAGTGCTAGTCCACTGAGATACCATGCCGCAGTGAAGCATGAATACCCCACTCAGACACATTATACTGACTCCGAGCCGACCAGTCCTTGTTGTACCTACCCATTAATGCCGAGCGCCAGACAGGGACCAACAAGTACCATATTTTAACGTCTTTTGGTATGACGCGGTCGGGGATTGAAACTGATATGGATGTCACATTCTTACCAAAACACAGTCCAATCTCTGTTGCTCCAACTTCCCTCGCTCTGTCTGAAGTACCTGCAGACATGCAGAGAATACCTCCTTAAGTTAAGAATCAATAAAACTTGCTTGATTCTTAATAGGGCTGGGATAGGTAACCCGGATACCCAAGATAGGTGCGTAATGAATTGGACCTAGGTACCCATCGCAATATCCAGACCCGTTGTGATCATGTGACTAAAAGATTAAACAGTGTAATATGTTATTCTTTCATGATTAAAAGGTTGTATTGTCTTTGAAGATTTAGACATAATTGAGCAGTCACCTGTTTTGAATCAAATATGGGCCATGGATAAGATTGAATAAACTCTAATACCGAGCTGTAGAGTATATTGCCATTTCTTATAATTTGATGTCAGGAATTAACATAATGGGTATGCAGGTAGGGTAGGGTAATAGGGGGTGGGGCTCACAGATAGAAAACTTGGACCCATCCCAGCCCTAATCCTTGCCCATTGTATCAAAAAACCAATTCAGTCCTTCACAGTGCATTTATGATGATTGCAGCCATACAGATTCACAATGTACCATTTCATTATTTTTGATTGAAATATGGAATAAGAGTCAGTGAGTTAACAAAACTGCTCACACCTTTGAAGAATTATGGGTGTCAGATTATTTTTGGAGGTCATGGTTGTAGAACACTTTGTTGGAACCCAAGACAATACGTGGGAACCCAAAACATTACAAACAGGGTGCCCACTAACCAAGAATCATAATAATCTTGGATTCATACCCATAAGCAGATCCTGCCATGACAAAAGGACAAAGCTCTGCACATGTAACTCTAGATGATCTCATACAGCAGATAGTGCCATTGTTATTACATCAGACAGGTGTGTACTGAAACTTCATTCTCAGCTTCATACAACCGAAGCTGCCATATTACATATCCATTAAAATCAAATTGATCATTAATATTTCCATATGGACTATATAATGAAGCTGCAAGGAAAATCCTACAGGTCATTAGACAACTGGTATTTGGTTATTCCAAACACTGATTTTAAGCCTCACCATGAATTGATTGGGTTGTCTCCCTTGGACCGCCAGTACAGCTGTTTATGGTCTCTCTTCAATGTCTCCCAAAGCATCTCACCTGTACCCTCTCCCTGTGGCAAGATGAAAGCAAGTAATATATTATACACAATACTTCAGATATATTTATTCAATTAAAAAAGAGTGAGTGAGTCACTTTAATTTTACCCCACTTTTAGCATTATTCCAGCAATATCACGGAGGGGACACCAGAAAGGGGCATCACATTGTACTCATGTGGGTCATTGAACCCAGGTCTTCGGCGTCAATGAAACAAATCAAATATTACCACAATAGAGATAAATCGGGACAAGGCTTGATTTTTATCACCTGGGCTTTAACGGACACAACAAACTTGCAGAGATAAGGTACTTCCATATCATCCTTTAGGATCACTGCTGCTGCATTGTAGCTGAAACAGACAGGGTTTACTTTAGTTTCAAACATCTTCATAGCACTGCTACAAAATGCCAATGAAAATTATTCAATTGATAATCCAACTCTTAATCTATTATCAGTACAACAATGAAGAATTTTCACAATGTGTGTTTTGTGAGTAAAAGTGAGCGACCTTGTCAACCTAGGATAGAATTTCCCTGATAATCAGGGTTGACACGATTTTACCTCCATCAACCAGTGTTATTCAAGAGCAACTTAAGGCAGTACCCAAAGCAAAACACATAATATGCAACCTGGGTTCTGATAATGGCTGCCTGGAAAGAGAGCAGCCATTACAATAACACAACTATGAGAGGTTTCTCTGTTTGGCAAATGTGCCAGTGTATCTTTTCTATTTAATACAAATGAAAATGAAAACAATGCTTCGAACATCAAAGAAGATACAAAATTATCAAAGTTGCATTATAGATTCTGAAGTATTCATATCAGCAAGTGAAGGTTTTCTCGGACGCTATCAGAATACATATATACATACTACCATACCTTATTTTCATTCATAACTAACAATGAGTTTCAGTCCTGTATCAGGTTCAATCAGAAATATTTATTCTCTTTCTTGTGGGTATTGCCCATGTCTTACCACTAAACATGCATATGCTAAATGGCAGACAGGATTGCCCAAAATCTACAGCTTTCAAAAGTAAAAATTATTTTCAAATGAATAATACAGCAATTCTATCAGAAAGCTGAATAGAATATGTTTACTCACCTTTCTGACAAGTATACGGCATGAAGCTGTTCCTCAATAGACTTGAAATAGTCTACTGTTAATGGTTTCCTAAATGATCTGAAAGAGGAGAGCAGATTTATTGACAAGCTGACAAAACCATTTCTGTTACATGTCATAAGGTAGAAATATTGGTAACATGTTTTGTCAGTGTTAATTTGCATTATATCATACACAGTAAAGGGTTGGTGCCTCCTTTAGGTTTTACTGTACACAAATAGTAATATATACACAGCAATACATATAGCAAACATGCAGAGAGAGAGAGAGAGAGAGAGAGAGAGAGAGAGAGATACATACATAGTAAAGAGTTCTGTCAGTCTTTCGATATCAATACCCTCCAAGGTGGAATAGCTGTGAATAGGTTCTGTGATCTTGAAGAATGTTCCTGAACCTGTAACAAAATATGCAAATGAAATTAATCTCAAATAATTGACATCCTTATCAATTTGTATTTGTTTTGGTATATATAAACTACAGGTATGAGTTTTACAAACACAAAGATAGAGGTACATATTTCACATACACGGCGATACAGGTACGAGTTTCACACACATTTAGATACATACAGGTACAAGATACAAGTGTTTAAAACTCCCAAAATTCCAAGCCAGACAGCCGGACTGGTAACTTAAAAAAATTACCCGTCCGGATACAAACTTGCCTGTCCGATTTTCAACAACAACAAAAATAAAAAGAAAGAGAAAAAAGGGTTTTTGAATAATTTACTGTTTGTAGGCATCGCAATGAACAACATGATAGCACTAACAGGCAATGCACAGAGTTTAGGTAAACTGAAAGTACATGTGTTGTGATTGGTTATTGTAAAATTAAGTGTCCAATCGTAAATACCGGTAGTTTAACATAATTATCATGATACTTTAAACACCTCAAACTGACGACGAGAGAACCTGTCTGATATTATGAAATATTTACTGTTAGGGGTAAAAACATCTACCAGACCACCGGACAGTCTACTTTTGAAATTTGACTGTCCGAGATCAAAATAGACTGTTCCGGATGGTCGGGCAGGCGGGAATTTTAAACGCTGAAGATACATGTAAACAGAGATATAGGTAGAAGTTACAAGTAAAAGAATACAAATATGTATTCTCCAGTTTCTCCACTGATACATAGAGCTACATATTGGCAAAATGTTTCTTCTGTAACATACTGAGATCAGGTACCTGTATTGTTTAAAGTACTGCAATATACTGTTGAACTAAACTGACAATAAATCGACACTGTTCATACAGTACTTTGTAGCTATGGATGCCGTGGGAATGACAACTTTACCGAAAAAACACTTCTGCATTTCAGCCGTATTATCTATCAATTTTGAGGGGAAAATGATTTGTGAATCAAAATCTGTGTCCATCTTAGGTTAATAAATACATATATAACCGGAATATCCAATATATCAGCACACAGAAAAATACTGCGACATGTTTGGTTTGAAAAGAATATTGCAGTGTGCCAGTATATCTGAAATACCATGCTCTCCCATTGATAAACCTGAGTATGTATTGATAAATTCAGCACCTGCAATCACAGAGTAGCATCCATCAAATTATATAATGTGTAATAATATCAAATTATATAATGTGTAATAATATCAAATTATATAATGTGTAATAACTTCCTGTCCAGTAAAACAACAAATCAAACGACTCCATGGACTCCAAAAATGTAGGTCGTTTCCATTGAACCATTTCTTGTTCTCAGGAGCCAAATAATGATCAATAGAGCATTTGTTTTTAAGACAGCTCTTAATTTCACAAATATGGAAGACAATTTAAATCACTGGGATAAGCATTTAATTCCTGTGGGTATGTGAATATTCTGGAACCTCTTCTTCCCTGGAATCTCCTTGGCTGCAGTTCTGCAGTCTGCATTCCCTGCAATCCCTAGTGTTAATGTGCATACAATTACATTACCTCTGTGAGTGAAGAGCTCTTTCAACATCTTGTCTACAGCTGTGATGACGACTGAGCTGTCCCTTGGCATGTCACACAACAATTTGTATACCCGCTCTATCTGAAATTTAATCCAAAAGTTAAACATGCATAAGCCCGTCTTAATGTAACACACTTATACTTTATTTATTATTTATTGCACATAAATGATTCCTTAAAATACCAGATGTAAATTCTAACAGGGACGTCTAGTGCGATTGAATAGCATAATATTCTCAACATCTTTATCATAAAATGTTTAAAGCAACCAGTATACAAAGAATACAAGCCTTACACTAGATCTGATGACAGGTGTACACCAGGGTTTGTCCCCAGACGTCTCCAGATCCACGGGTAGATGGATATTTGCCACCACCTGCATTGTCAGGCACATGATATACAAGGCATATAATATTTTGTTTCATGCCACACAGAATATTCCTGCAATATGACAGCCATAAAGTATGTCACTGCCTGAAAAATAAGTGTTCTTATTTGAACATCTAAACAAAAATATAAAAAATATGTTAACGATATGACAGTGTTTTAGAAAAATAACCTCACCAGAAGGTGAGTGAGTGAGTGAGTGAGAAAATGAAGCTGTATGCCGTACCAGGAATGTTGCAGCTATCTGTGGCTACAAATATCATCATAGCCTTTACCAATAATTTAAATGGAGTTTAAAGGACATACAACCCCATAACTTCAGTCTACTAACAAAATTTTTTACTAAGTTGCTTATTGAACGTTTGAACATGTTTTGACAGGCCAGGCCATGATCTATTCCATCCAAAACTTTTCAGAGCTAAAAGAAATTCAAAAGGATGTGTTTGATTAAAAAATTGCTTTTCGGAAACCTTTTGGTGTTTTTTCATAAATTTCATTTAAAGGATTTTATGCAACCTGAAGTCGACATGTTTTAATTTTCTAAGTTTACATCCTGGCTCTTGTGATATCAATTAAGAAAATATTGGAACAAAATAAGGTCTGCTTTTAAGTCTTAATTAAAATATTGTTTCACATCAGTACATTCTTTTGAAGGACATCAGTACTCACAGATCCAACTTCATCAACGAAACCTCCACAAGCATTAACCTTGATGACCTTCAAAGGCTGCAGAGCCTTGGCCAGCCCCTCCGTTACACTCCACAGGTCCAGTGCTACAAGCTGGCCACTGGCGGTCTCTCCAAACGACAGAATTATTGGAATGTGTTTTGTCTGCAGACACCACTCAATGATCTCTGTGTTGATGTTACACAGAGTCCCACAATAGTTGGCACTGCAATACAATTATTGTCATGTTGAAAGATGTGATTTTCACATTGTTTTGAATTGATTAACTTCAACAGTTAGGAAACTGTTCAGCAGAAGGAAATACAGCTTAAAGGGGCACTGATCCAGAGCGATTAATGTTTCTCGCCAACAGTCTAATTACGAAACCAAGCGGCAAGCTGGCCAGAACCTGCTCCCTCAACTGTGATGGACACGGGGACTGGGCTTCTGTCCACCTTGGCAGAATTTCTTCAATCTAAACAGTGGGACATTAGGATGGGTGGATGCCCATCAGATGGCGTTATTTGAAAATATCCCAGAGAGTTCTTGTCTGATTGTAATAAAGTATCCCAGCAGTGTAGGCTTTTCAGATTTTCTAACGCCTGGATAGTGTAGTGACTGATCCAATTTGATCCTATTTCTGTGGGTTTTTTTACCTCGATATTTAATCATGTCATGTAAAAATATGATGTCTATTACCTATGATATTAAAAACACACATTTGATTTGTTTGAATCTATAAACTAAACAACCCCACTTTGCCATTGCTAGTGAAATCCGAAAATATACTTAGGTAAATAGGTATATACTATTTTTTTTAACTTAAGTACAGAGAAAATGCTTATACGCATTTCTTATGCCTTATGCAACAATGAAGTTCCGTTCGTATCCTCAATACAATGTCGGCCCATAAATTTTTCCAGGCAATTAAAATTGTTTGTAACCCGTGTTTCGTGGTATAAACCTACATATGCTATTTGTCATCATTCGCTTGATGATCAGTTAATGAATTTATAACAGGTATAATTAGTGGTAACACCACTCGGATTACCCGACAAAGGTTCCCATTTGGCATCTCTCATTTCTGGAGTAAAAAACTCAACATTGTCAATAAAGGTCTGATGTGGCAAATGTATTACATCTTATGTAATATGCGCATGGAAGTGCAGCAAGAGGAATTTTCAGCTAAGTTACAAAAACAAACATCAATCAAAGGATTAATTGATAACACACTGATTGGTTAATTACTGTTATCTTGCAGAGCATATTTTTAAAAAGGTCGTGTTTATGTATGTAGATTTACTAATCTATACTGAATACACCCTGTCGTAAAGTGCCGGTGTAAAAACAACATCCTTCATTCAAAGGATTAATTGCCAATGCGTTGATTGATTACTCATTTTTTGGCTGACTAAATTACTGTTTTAAAGAATGGGGGACACCATGCAATTAGTTGTCAGGTGTGCTATCTTGGGTGTCCAATAAGGCTATACACCGATGTGAAAAACCAATGTGAAACAATACATCACTTTTTCGCACATTAGACTGTTAAAACTAGGCACATGACATGGAACAGGATTCTTTGTCAGCTGCAGATGAATGGCATATCGTTCCTTAATGTGGATATATTGATGGATACATTCCTGGAACAAGGTAACAGCCTGGCATTGTTGCTATAACTATAGTCTGTTTTAATTTTAATATTTGCATTTTGTTTTTATTCATTTGTTGTATCCTTCAACAGAATCATTTTTTTCGCCGTGAAGTGTAGTGAGACAGACAACACAAACTAGGTCGCCCTTAGGGCATGTATGTGAAATATGATTCATCTGGCAATCTATAAAATGTCTAGATATTACAGTCATGCTATAAATTCACTATAAGTATAAGTAGATCGTGTGCTTGTTATTAAGTTTCAAAATGCACACAAATATGATAATAAACTAATTTGGATTATAAGACAAAATATAAAGACATACATTGTCTTCGTTATTTTTCAGTCCTAACATTTTTTTACCACTGGCACGATGTTAAACTTCAAAATGTTTTCACTTTTTATCATTATAATGAAGATGGATGTATTATCGACTAAACATGATTTCATCTTTGTTGATCAATCTACAGATACTATCTATTGCACTTGCGGGTGGTGCAGCAGAGATCACAAACCAGTCAAGAATTCTGGGATATCATCCGGGAAGTCACGGGAAAAAAACAGTAACAAAAGCAACAACCAGTCCACGGAAATTGCTCTGGATCAGTGCCCCTTTAAAGAGGTAAATGTACAGAGAAGATAATTCTACTTGGAATACCTTACTTGCTTTGTCTATTCCCTCAAGTGACTATCAGGCGAAATAACTCTCAGTTGCGTTTTGATGATTTGGCAGTCGGTGCTTGAGCACAGCTCTATCCAAATCATTTTATACTCATCATACCTTTCTATAAACTGTACGAAGGCCTCATCCCACTCTTGATGACTGTCATGAATCATTAAGCACAGCTTTTATCAATATTATTCCTATTACTTAAATCAATTATGGACATATTTGTTTTTAGAAAAATACAAAAGTTTGGACAGTCAGTTCCACTCCGCAAGGCATATGAATAAAGAGTATTGCATTGCATAACTGATGTTATTGTTTGTTTACAGTAGAACCATATGCAGGATGACACACTTCAAGGCACATGTAAATTTGTTTACATTCAGAACATGGCTCACTTGACAGCAGTGTTGAGCTGAAACTCTTCTTGTAGTTGTTGTAGTATTTCATACACAGCTCGCAGTTTTTTTGTTAGATGTCTTAACATTAGTAAATAACACTGTGTTTGTTCTTTGAATTATCAAGTTCTTTGTTTGCCTAATGTCTCTCAGCAACCTTCCTTGTAAGCCTGTGAACAGTCCCATCCTGACCAGCAAAACCATTATATTGGGGAATACTGACCACACAATCACCCAATCAGTCAACCTGACCACCCAGCCTTTACTGCTGCTTACAGCAAAATATACTCATGCCAATAATGGTTGTCACCCACTTATTGGATAGGGGGTGTGGGGGTGGGGTGGGGTGGGGGTGTAAGGTGTGTGGGGTTGGGGTGGGGAGGGGAGGGGGTGACAACCTTTATTGGCATGAGTATACATCACTGCAAGCAAAATGAAGCTTGGAATCCCAGTGCGATTTGAATAATACAATGGTCATACGTTGTCATTGTTAACTTCTAGCCATGGTGCAGAGGCCATTCCTTAAAATAGTTAGTGTGGCGAACACATATATATCTGCTTACTATTCTTATTGCTGCCCCTAAAATACACAAATTAATAAACAAAAAGCTGGTCCCTTAGAATATCTGGCAGTAATTTTAATCATTCAATACCTACCCATTAGCTCTCTCAGCCTGGATGACATGGCTTCCCATAAACAGTGGCCGACAGTGCACCCTGTTGGCCTCTAACATACTGGTCAGCACAGTGCTGTATATCACAGCCTGGGTCTTCAGTCTCTGTAACAGAAAACACTCTCTCCAATTCCACATACGATCTCTCCAATTCTACAAACACTCTCTCCGTTCGACATACACTTTCTCCAATTCCACATACGCTCTCTCCAATTCCATATTCTTGGAAAAAGTTGTATGCCTTGTCAAAACAACCAACCACAGTTATCTGTCTTTAGCATGACATAAAAGAGTTTGTTTTCTCCCTTCTACACAACTCTTAATAGAGCTATGACAACAATACAGGCTGTTTGTTGTTTGAACTCTGCACACAGCAGTATTCCAAAATTCACTGTAGCCTGTAAATAATAGGGTGATTGATATATGTAGCAATAATTCACACTGTCTGTTATGGTTTCACACCATCAAAAAAGTCAGTGAGCCTTACTTTCAGACCCATTCCTTACCATCAGATCCATTCCTTACCATCAGATCCATTCCTTACCTTCAGACCCATTCCTTACCTTCAGACCCATTCCTTACCATCAGACCCATTCCTCACCATCAGATCCATTCCTTACCTTCAGATCCCTTCAGATCCATTCCTTACCTTCAGATCCATTCCTTACCATCAGATCCCTTCCTTACCTTCAGATCCCTTCCTCACCTTCAGATCCATTCCTCACCATCAGATCTATTCCTTACCATCAGACCCATTCCTTACCATCAGACCCATCCCTTACCATACTTTAGATCCATTGCTGGGGATGTCCCATCCATAATCACAACATCGTCAACACGAACAAACAAGAGAACTTTTAAACTGACGTCACTCACTGTGGACCTTTGTTGACCCATGTCCAGCAAAATCAGATTTACAACCTGTTGTTGTCCACTTCCACATGCACCTAAATGACACACATGCCTTTGACTAGTATTTCTCAGTTTACTTGCTCACATAAACCATTGCCATCTGTGTCTTTAAGCAACACAAGACATGATCAAAACCTACCTGGAGCTCCTCCAGAGGGAACCGATGACCTGATGCAATATGGTTCCCACAGACAAGCACAGGCCGCATGCTGTTCCGTTGAAGAAAAGACAGACATGAGGTCAGGTGTTCCAGCTGAAACATGACAAGAAGAAAGTCGAAACATATTACTTTCAAATGATACATTTTGAATAACATTTAACTAACTTCTAAAATCAAACTGACTGACTGAGTTTACAGAACGAGAGTCATTCAATAGTTCATCCAACTGAATGTAAATGTGAATTTTAAATATCATGACAGACTTGTGAGAATGCATTATTGCTTTTTAGTTCTATCTGAACATGGAGTTCAAGCACTGTTGTTTTTTCATCTGATCATACCTGCTTCTGATCCTGAAAGATTTCCGGGTCCACCTGGACAACTGCAAAAGGCTTCTTAGGTTCTGAGGTGGTGAACTGTTTCAGCCAGTAGCGAGCCTCCCTGGGGTCAGTCCCAACCTTAAGCATATCAACTTGAAGAATACAGACTGCAAGTTATACCACAAGACTGACATTTCCTGTTCAAGAACTAAGATCCAGACAATAGTCTAGGTAATAACTTCCTAGACTATCTAAACACCATACACCAAATTCTGTATCTTATACCTTTCCAACACAAATGTTTGTGAACTAGGCTGTGCATCTTAAGTCAATCAAATGTTCTAAGGCTGAATACTATTGTCTTTCTGGATGCACAGGCCTGCTCGAGTGTGCACATATTTAAATAATAATAACCTATGTATCATGCTTTAATACTTTTGGATAATCTCACCATTTATGCGAATAGTATCATTTTATCTTAGTGCAACATATCAATAATTAAGTCAGTGACAGAGCCTTGATAACTTTCAGCATGGCTTCTGTGGTTGCCAAGTGACTTTTAGACATCTTGAAGAATTTCTGATGACATCATTGGTAAGAACAATCATGTGAAGGTTCATCGGTTTCTAAGGAGATGATGTTGAAAGTGTTGCATTGAAGGAATTTCAGAACAGTCAAAGAGCAAAATGGTAATAAAGGTCAAAATACAAAATACCTCAATAAAGGGATCACATATGTATAGCCCCATTACTAACAACTCACATACCAAAATTCATTACATTTTGAACACAAAGGGCTCAGTAACAGTTATAATTTACAACTTTCAGTATGGTCGAACTGAAGCAATGGTTAAAAAAAATGTAAATATTTAAAACACTGCAAAAACAGAACACTCTTGTTCAGGTACACACCGTATACATATCCTATAGCAGATTTCATGACATTTCAACAAAAAGGAATGGTTACTGGCCAGAAATATCTCTTTTAAAAGAGTTCCCCTGGTGGCCATTTTTAGTGGGTGAGTGAGTGAGTGAGTGGATGGGTGGGTTAGTGAGTGAGTGAGGTTTACGACTCTTTTAGCAATATTCCAGCAATATCATGGCAGGGGACACCAGAAACAGGCTCCACATATTGTACCCATGGGGGGATCGAACCCGGGTCTTTGGTGAGATGAGCGTACGCTTTAACCACTAGGCTACCCCCCAACTTCAGTTAGGAACCTCTCAATATTTAGAACAAGCAAACAAAGTTTCTGCTTCACTAATTTGGTGGTTTCTGCAGAAACAATCTTTACAATGTTAGAAATGCATTTTAAGAGCATTGAAAGGGCATGGGCAAATAACGGTAAAAACAGAAAATGCAGCGGCCATAAAAGTTCAAAGTCCCATGATAGGATTCAAACCACAGACCTTCTGATACAAAGTTGTACACCTTGTCCACATGACCAAAGAGCTCACAAAGTAAGGATGTCATCTGTGACATCATATGAACATAGGAAAGTAGAAACAATTTGCCTTGAGTTCCTCCCAGTGACAGGGTTTGACAGATTTTCACTGACAGCTTGAAATTATGATTTTCCATTCACTATCATTATATAGCAAATCTCACAAATTGCCCCATGGTTCAACACTGTATTTTTACAACCTGCTTTACAAGAGCAGAATGGATTTACTGTCAACAATGTCAGGGTCAAAAGTTGAATAGGTACATTGTTCAACCAGCACATAATGAAATACATACTGGACACATATCTATCTAACTTGTCAAGCTGTCATCGATGATTTAAAAACACCTCTCCATGCTAAATGTTTCAATTTAACTACTGCACTCTCAACATTTATGATTTTCAGTTGTAAAGGAACATCATTTTGAATGAAGGTTGACAGTTTTTGTGAAGGACAGAGTAACGTCCACCTACCTCACTAAGGAAGCTCTTCAGATCAGGCATGTTCTCCAGGTCAGATGTCCCTCTGTACTTGTCCAGATGACTCAGTGATGTAGACAATAATGCACTAAGAATCCGGGGATCGGACAGACGACATGTGTGTTTTTCCAGTTTCTTGCTGTTGCAAAGACAACACATGAGAAATCTGCAGTTGTTATTTTCACCTAGACCAATTTTATTACTTGTTTCGATTACTTTATTTTTTATTTCCTCTTTATCCCGAGGTAAGACGAAAAAACACGAAGGTTGGAAAGTACTATAATAAAACGCAATAGATTCTATTGGTTTTGAAAGAGGTGCTTTGCCGACCTTAGCCTCAGCTAGCTGAAACCATTGCTTGATTTAGCCAGCAAAAACATAGTGAAAATGTCAATGTGTAAGGACAGGATATGCTAGGAGCATTATTAGTAGGGATGTCACAATACATAAGTTCATGAATAGATACGTATCACAATACCCATGTCATGATTCCATACGTATCACGATACCTATTTTCGCTGTAATTATTGCGTAAATTTAGTTACATTTTGAACATCAATATTTCATATTTTATAACTGTCCACGAAAAAGATCAACATTTTTTATTCTTAGAGATTAAATAGTTCTAATGTTTGTACATTAAAAATAATCATTTATAACTCTCATAACATCAAAAAACATGATACAATAGCAAAATGTAAATGATACATAAACATATTTAAACCAATACTTTGAAAGCTAAATATCGATACAGTTTTGAATTCATCGATAATTGTATCATCTTAGAAAAAGTATTGATGCATCAATGTATCGATGTATCGTGGCATCCCTAATTATTAGACTCACAGGATCTAGTAATAAGAAAAAACTTTCAGAAAATTAGCAGATGTGTTCATATGAATGAGAACCACACTTTGTTGGTTTCAATCCATGCATGTACTTGACATCACTAAACATATATTCATGTAGGTAATTAAGAAGTTAACATCTTATATCTGTCATGAGCAAATTCGCTCAATTTCTCTTGAATTTAAATATGCAATTTTTGGGCCTTTTACACTCATTTCAGCTATTAAACTATTTTTGATAATGTTACAAGAAAATATTTGTATAGGAGAATGGTGTAAATGCTAGTTTTCCATTGTTTTGGAATATGACATTTCTTCTTTGTCACAAATTGTCATCCTAATTGAAAATAAAACATTCCTGGATATTATTACATACGGTTGTAGTGGGTGGAATAGTAAATGTAATGGCTCCATCTGACTGCAAGTTCATAAAGCGATAAGGCACTTTACCAATTTTGGTAGTTTTTGTCATATTGTACCCTAACGCCAATCAAAGCTTAGGGAATACAATGACATGCAGTGATGGTTAATATGAGCATCAATCAAAACAAATTGGTCACAAGGACATACATCAACCAAGTCGGCAAGCTAAACTATACCTGATCTGGTCGCTTCTTTCAACAAGCACAGGTAGCTAAAGATCATAACGAAACTGTCATCATAAGGATATTAGCATTTTTCTTGTAACCCTACATGAAAGACTCGGGGATAGTGGCTGTCATGCTATCCATTAAACAATTCTTGGACTGCTTTCTACCATTACATATCTCACCATGTTAAAGATGTCTGTTGGCGATCACTTCCAATCTGGAGATTTCCGGACACTTTAGTCCTACTGGACAGTTTACTCATGCTACTATTTGTTGAACTCTGGAGAAATTGGCCAATGTACTTTGTGGGTTTGGTACAGTATCTGGTAAAAGAATGGAACCCCTTCTGGCTTTGCACAGGTACAAAACATTTTGAGCTGTATGTCAAGGCTGATACTATGGACCCCTTGGTTGCCTTGATGCTTGAAACTGGCAATGCCATGATCGTCAGGCAGCAGCTGAAATGCTGGAAAAATGCATAAAGTGCAAGATTTCTTTCATTCTCTTAGACTATGTGTCTTGTTCAAATAGAGCAAATCTTGCTTATAGAGAAATGTCATGTTTAATGCTGAATTTATAATATATTTGAATAACATCAAAAAGTACTCTGTATACTTCAAGAATTTGCAAATGTGTGTCTGGAAGTCATCATGAAGCCATCAAGTTTGCTTGGGATTGACTGTTGTGATTTTCTTGTGTTGTTAGTAAACACTGTTGTCTGAGTAAACTGTATCCCTTGATTGCTCCCTACCAGTACCATCAATGCCTATTGGGGCGGTGGGGTAGCCTAGAGTTTAAAGCGTTCGCTCGTCACGCCGAAGACCCAGGTTAGATGCTCAACATGGGTACAATGTGTGAAGCCCATTTCTGGTGTCCCCCTCCATGATATTCCTGGAATATTGCTAAAAGCGGCGTAAAACCATACTCACTCACTCAATGCCTATCAAAGCCCCCTAGCTTCTATCATTTACATGGCTCCTCATTGAGTGAGTGAGTTCAGTTTTATGCCACACTCAGCCTGTACATAATTAACTCTGGATCAGACAATCCAGCAGTTGCTATCACGAGTATTGATCTATGCAGTTACCTGTGTCCAACCAGATCAGCCAGTCTCACCACTTGATTGTGTGTGTCACCTCATACACAAACCACTGCATGAACCAACAATTCATTTCAAGGTCACCGTTCCATGCATGTTTCCATTCCAAATGACCCCATGGAACAAATGTCGTTGTTTCAGTGACCTTGGAAGTATATTTAATAAGAATGACAGTATTGACACCACTCATTTAGATGACGGTGCTTTCTGTGAACACATTTTACATGAAACATGTCATGAAACCAAAATGATTCTCAAGCTTAATTAATTCCACATTTGTAAAACTGTGGCTTCATATATATTTACACTGCAAGTGTATTTGCTCACTTCAACTTCAGGTGTCACAAGACAATAACTCCCTACCATATTTATGAAACACTGCAACATTCAATCGTGGTTGGATAAATGTTGTGAACATCGTTCCAGGAAAATCTGTAATTCTGATAATTCCACAGAAATTATTACACCAAGGGAACGTTTATTCTTTGTACTGATACATTATATATGAATAAGGCAATAAAACTGTAAATCCTTACACTGGTGAGTGCTTTCAACTGAAACGAGATTCTGGCCATTAATGTCAAGGTAATATATTTGATGAGAAAGAATTTTGACTGTCATGGTGAATGGCACCGAGCTCTTAAAGGACCACTACTAAACTTCACACAGATCTACCGGCACACGAAACAATATACACACACCGGCTACGGCCAGCTGTTTGTCCGAGGTGTCGTCTTACCTTACATCGCCATGTCTCGGGACTTCTCAAACATCTTTTGGATGCTAAATTATCCTATGACCATTCTAGTGTAGTTCCCATGTCATCGACATCTCAGAATGGCACAGTCTTGCCACTGTTTTTCTCCCGAATTAATTATATAAGATGCCCTCAGACAAACTGTTAACGCTTGCGGAATCAGCCGGTCGTCTATATCTCCCCTCTCCGTGAACCCTGTGGGGAATATCACTGATTCGTGTGCAGTGCGTGATCGGCGTGGCGACACTGGCACTGGCCTTGGGAAGTCATCACTCCATAGTACCGTTGCCTGCTAATGCGTGATATAAAGGGAGATAACTGGTCAGACATTGAACAATAGAGGTTATCGTGGGTGCTTCAGGACCAAGTCAAGGTCGTGGTGAAAAAAAATTCGTTTGTTTGCTCTCAGCAACATTCCATCTGTATGACGACAGTCTAAATAATTGAGCCTGGACCAGTACAGTGGATGATATCATGAGCATCTGCAACTGAACGAGCCTGACCATTCGATCCCGATAGTCTACTCTTACGACAAGCATGGGTTACTAAAGACTATTTCTCACCCGGATCTTCTCGGGGGAAATGGTATACAATAGTTACAGAAGTCCATATTAGCAGATATAATAGCTGTTATTATATTATACGAATTTCAAATTTACACGTGCGTATTTGTTGTATAGGCCTACGCTATATTTATCTACAGTAAACCTAATACTAGCTACTCAGTAGCTGTGTGACGGCGGCCTGTTGGTCATCGGACCAGACAACCAATGACTGGTATTCCACACCATTTGGGTACGATAACACGTCAGTTCAGAATGGTGAAAGTTAGCAAGGTTTTGCTCGAATAGCGCTGATAATGTGAATTATAACCCGATATTTGTTTATAATAGCTCTGAAGAGTTCTTTGAATAGTCCGTGGTCTGATGGATAGAGTGTTTGCAAAGACAGCGGATAGTTGGTGATACAATAGTACCAATCGTACCAAAGGACGTTACAAGATGGTACTTGTTACCCTGCGTGGCGCTCGAGATTTAAGGGGTTCGTACCTCGGGTTTCCACATGACTGTCTAACAGAGCCAGCTAGGATTCATCAACAGCTGAGCATTACAAGAGACTGTGGGGCTGGCGGAAATAAATGTCTATACGGGTTTCTTAACAGTGACTGATTACTATGATATATAAGATTTCGATATACCAAAATATGGATCCCATTTCTGTGTCTTATAGCTTGATATCTAATCATGTCAAGCAATTATGCCAAGGTAATAGACCTATTATATTAAAAAACATACATGTGTGTGTGTTTCCAAATGTACTACATGCTTTGCCTGCCCTGAAAGTTTCGACTAGTGGCAACGATTTTGTCAAACACGGGTTACGGAGTACATGAAAAAAATAAATTAGATTATGATGTTTATTGAATTTAAAAGTGTTATCTGTCTTCAATATCATAACAACAGTGTCCCTCAAATAAATGCCTTTATGGTTAAAAAAGAGTCGGAAAACTTTTCACTGTCGTGTAGACTGTATAAATATAGCAATGATGCAATGCAAGACGCAGCTCCTTGCACCAACTGGTAACATAAATGTCAGATAATTCAGTGATGTCACAGGTGCTGTAACGAGCTGAAACTGAAAGTATGTTAGAATGGCAATGTTGTCATCATAATGGATGAACGGAATAGACATTATAGCGCAATATTACGTGCGTTTTCAAGCGCTGCTACGAAAGGATGGCCAGCATTGAAATTCCAAATGTCTTTAAGAACTCAAAGTGTGCTGAAACAGTACAGTTTACCATCGAAGCCTATCAGTTTCTCCAACTTCATTATTGACAGAATTTCATGTGAGTTATATCCAGATGATGCACCAACCAACTTTAGACCAGTGTCGTGTGTAGGTGACGGGAACTGTCAATGTTAGATCATTGTCACAGCAGGTTTTAGGTGAAAATCAGCACATTGAATGTAGAACTAGGGTTGTATATGAACTGGTAACACGTGACAAGTTTTATATTTCGGATCACAATCTGAAACTTGTGTCTGGATCGTCTGCTCAGCAGACGACAAACCTAGCAGAATATGTAATTTATACCTCAGCATCAGATGATACTATTTCAGGATCAAATTTAGCCGTCACTTACCAAAATGATGTTTTGAAAAGCGTTAATTCTTGTATATACAGCTATTCATTGCATCTGTACGCTGCCTGCAATTGCTTCCAAAGGAGATTGATTTCCATCTATCCCCAAAGGGAAATGAAGCGGTCAGTAGGAGGGTCATGCACCAGACATCAAGTCAAGTGTCGGGGACATTTGATGAAGCATTAGACATGCACATTATGTGGACACATATGACAAATGCCAGTCTCTCACAGTGGAACCCCAATCATTTTGTTTCGTGTGTTCAGTGTCGTGAAGATCATGAGTAAGAGTCTTGTAATCTCACCTATCAAATTGACAATTCTGATTCAGATCATCACTAGAAAGAGTCCCAGTGAAGATTCTGAAATTCCAATATCCGACAGGTTAGCTGATGAATCAGCCAAAAGCTTTGATGACAAGCCTGATGTTCCAAAATGTCACGGCGACATGGACACCCCTGACGCAGAGCCTGAATCTAAACAGTTTAAAGCATCTACAGGGATAGACATAGATGATGTCGGTGACATTGTATAAGTGAAAGTAAAATTGTCATCGATGAGTGATACTGAGAAACTGAAGTACCTGAAGGAACATTGTACTCCAGGTCCCGACTATGAAGTCATTACCCAGGTAAAGAAAAGACCTGGACAAAAAAGATCCACAATGAAATGTTGAATATATATCGAAAAGTGCCAATTTTAGATCAAATGCGGAAAATACTACCAGGACAACTCTACTTGTATGTCAATGATATGTCAAGAAGAACAATGACATATTGAGAAAAACAATGGCCTGTTAGAGAGAACAGTGCCACAAACATTATGCTATGTGAACAGAGAAAAAAAACCGGTATCACACAATGTTATAATAGGTACGAATAGTATATCAGACAGAAAGCAGATATTGTGACTGAACCAACAGTATTTAAAGCTGCAGCATTCAAGTCAACTAATGGCATATCAGCTGAAACAATACTACAATGACATAACTAATAGTAGATCAGCTACAATAATGACACCATTATCAAACTTACTAACGACCTCAGCTGACACTACAACTGCCTTTCTACGGTAAACTGGGGTGTCATTGGGCGTGGACAGCACCCGCAAGTCATTCCTGAGAATGGAGCCCACATGACCACTGACAGATGTGTGTAACCCCTGTCCGGGCACCTCGGTCGTCTACGTATTGTCACATAAGCATCAAAATGAATGAAATGTCGAATATATATAGAAAAGTGCCAATTTTAGATCAAATGCCAAAAATAATTCTCCCGGGACAACTCTACAATCTTAAGCTGTCTTTCATCCAGGTTATGATGACAGAACTGACAGTATATAAGATGGATCGATGACAGAACCAATGGTGTGTTAACTACAACGATGATATCCCATGACAGAAAGCAACTGTATGTCAATATGTTAGGAAAGGGAGTGAGTTTAATTTTATGCCGCACTCAGCAATATTCCAGCTATATGGCGGAGGTCTGTAAATAATTGAGTCCCGACCAAACAATCCAGTGATCAACAGCATGAGCATCAATCTATGCAATTGGGATACAATGATGTGTCAACCAAGTGACATCATGGGGAACTGTGTGTAAAGATGAGAAATAAATGGTATCTCAGCCAGAGCTAACAAAAAGTTATAAAACCATAAAATCAGTCGTGTACGATAAACGATATCATAGCAGAACTGGTACCATATCAGCTGGAACGGTTATATCATGAGAGAACCAGTTGTGCAAGGTTTGAAACAGTCGCGTCCCATGAGAGAAACCAATGACAGCATAAAAGACCCAACACTATTTCAGCTTCAATGCTGACATCCAATGTCCAACACAGAACCATAGGTATGTCGGTGGAAATGCCAGAACCAACAATGACACCACGACAGTACAATTCCATTATTAACTGAAGAATGACATGATGACAGATAGTTTACCAGTTGGAATAGCGGTATTATGACCCATGGAAAGGTATGTCAGATGGAATAACGAGACAATGACACAGCCAATAACCATGGTATGTCAACTATCAAGACATCATGCAACAACCAATCACGTGGCAGCTAGGTCAATGACATTAGTACCAGTTGTATGTGAGGGTGAACAATTATGTTTGTACCAAATCAAAATCAGTGACAGCACGTGAAGGGAAACTAACTTGGTCAACCATATCATAAAGGAATGGTTCATGAATGTTACTGGGCAGTGGGGTAGCCTAGTGGTTAAAGCGTTCACCCATCACGCCAAACACCTGGGTTCAATTCCCCTCAGGGGTACAATTTGTGAAGCCCATTTTCTGGTGTCCCCCACAGTAGTATTAATATTGCTGGAATACTGCTGAAAGCAGCACATAACTAAACTCACTCATGAATGTTGACTTACCCGACCTAATCCTCCTTACTCCTTGAGTAGTTCCTTGTCAAGGCTTCGTCTCCAGGTCTGTTTTGGACGTCCTCTTTTCCTCTTGCCTTTTGGGTTCCAGTTAAGCGCTTGTCTGGTGATATTTGTTTTGTGCTTCCTTTGCATATGTCCAATCCAACACCACTATTGTCCCTTGATCTGGGCATAGACTGGGTCTTGGTTTGCTGCTTGCCACAAGTCATGGTTTATCGTCAACCACTTGGTGCGGAGGCTCTGTCCGAGACACTTGTTGATGAAAGTCTGTATTTTGATGGAGCTGATCTTGGTTGCTCTCCATGTTTCTTAACCCATAAAGCAGGACAGAACGAACATTAGAGCTGAAGATCCACAGCTTGGTTTTCAGGGATAGGACAGTGCTTTTCCAGATAATTCTTAATGTGATGAAAGCATATTGGGTTTTTCTGACCCTGGCCTTGATGTCCTTGTCTGTGCCACCAGTTGTGCCAATTTTACGGCCCAGGTACGTGAATTTGGTAATGTCTTCAATCAATGTTACATCAGAGAAGACTGTCAGCATACCAATAATAGTCTGCAACATAAAACAATGGCATGGAGGAAAGAATGAAATATTAACTGTAACAATGACACCATGACCTTACAAGGAGATGTCAGCTACAAAAATGGCATCATGACAAAAACCATGGTACATAAGCTGAAATAATGACAAATGATGTGTCAACCAGAAAAAGACATCAGAATTAATAATATCTGTTTGAAGACCTAAAGTTAGGCAATAGCTATGTAATCTGAAGCCTGGCCACAGTGAGATTGCCTAAAGCTGGGCAATAGCCAGATAAGCTAAAGACATAGCTAGATAACCTAAAGCTGGGCCATAGCCAGAAACCTAAAGCTGGGCCATAGCCAGAAACCTAAAGCTGGGCCATAGCCAGAAATCTAAAGCTGGACCATAGCCAGAAACCTAAAGACACAACTACATAACCCAAAGCTAGGCAATAGCCAGATAACCTAAAGCTGGGCAATAGCTACATAACCTACAGCTGGGCCATAGCCAGTTAACCTAAAGCTGGGGCATACAAGATACACTGAAGCTGGGCAATAGCTAGATACCCTAAAGCCAAATAGCCAGATAACCTAAAGCCGGGCAAAACCTACATAACCTAAAGCTAGGCCTGATAACCTCCCCATACTCGGAGGTTAAATGGCTGAGTCCTCGTCAAAATTTACCACAATGCTGTCTGTGTGGGCGGGGATAGGGATGAAATATATCTAGATATATATGATGTGTATTCTGTCGACCAGGTGCGTAGCAAGCCAATTTTTTCATGTAAGCCCCATAGATTGCAAAGCTTTTTATTTAGATAGTATTGAGGGCTTGCCCAACTTTCATGTTCTTATGACACCTGGCCCGGAAAACAAACTTAAGTCTGAGTTTTGACTTAAGTTAAAGAGTTTTTACTAAAATTTGAAAAAAAACTGGTTTCCCAGAATGAACTGCAATCGATATTAAACTCAAACATTGTAGACAATTTGAGTTTGGTGAATAGAATACTTAAGTTGTTTTGGGCTTTTTAATTTACATGATGCAGCCGAGTTAAAATTCCAGCTGTTTCAAATTGTCAAACTCAGTTTGAAATTTGAGTCAAAATTAAAGTTTGTTTCGTGAAATCAGGGTCTGAAGTGTTATTGTTTGACGATTTCAGTAACTTCAAAATGTTATGTTATCAATATTTTGAAATCATAAAAAGGAGAACTTAGAGTAGTCTACCATTAATTCAGACAGAATAATCATTTGATTGAAATGTGACTTCCTCATATCCAAATATGTTTTGACAATGTTTAATGCATGTTTACTGCATTGATACAATACCATGCATCTAGTATTTGGGTTAGTTTCTATATGAATTGATAAACAAATGAAAAATTAACAAAGATAAATTAAGTCTATTCAAGGTTGGTCATGTAGTGTAATGTTTCAAACTGATGTAGAGGACTTCACTGAAGCCTGAATATCAATTAGCCTAAAATGAACAACATTTTCTCTTCTTTTTGCCTGGAAAAGACAACAAATTTAACCCTGTCAATGTCAATGGGAATGGGTTGATATTCAGCACTGCATATGATATGAAGAGTGAGTGAGTTTAGCTTTACGCCGCACTCAGCAATATTCCAGCCATATGGCAGCAATAATCGTGTCTGGACCAGACAATCCAGTGATCAACAGCAGAAGCACCAATCTACACAACTGGGAACAGATGACATGTGTCAACCAAGTCAGCGAGCTTGACCCATCGTTAGTCACCTTTTTTGTGGCAAGCATGGGTTGCTGAAGACCTTTTCTACCCCAGATCTTCACGGGTAATATGAATAACATGTTTACTGCACATGGTGACTATAGGTAATGCTTTGTTATCAAAGAATATTGTAGTCAATGATTTTTTTACCATTTTATTTTTTATAACGTCTTTGTTGGTATTTTGGGCAAGAATTAAAAAAACAAAAATATGAAATACAAAAATCATGTCTTTTTTTTTATAATGGTAGCTACGCCCCTGTGGACTGACTGTTTCTATTTATACCAGATAGTATACATCTGTTTTATTACCATTTTAGAAGTTGATGGAAACAACAAATGCAAGGTACTTAATGACAAGTTCTATAGTTTATTATGATGCGACCAAGTTTCAGTATAGATTCGTATACCATGTGAAACAAGATTGAAACCGGCACAAAGGAATCCCCAAAGTATCTTGCCTATACAGATTGTTTATTTTAATACATTATATGAATGAATACTGTACAAAGGCGGATCAAGAGTGGGTGTCATGTCTAATCGTAGGAATATTAAAGCATTAATCTTTGCAGTAACTTCTGGAACATTTTTAAACTAGTATGGTCCCTACTGCAATTGCATCTTGCACGAAACACAATGCGACAAACTATAAGGTCATTTGCATATGTTCTGTCCTAAGCTTATAACAGGAAGTGAGGTATCGTGCAACTTCATCCTGCACACGGCAGCAAATTGTATGGTACATTTTAAGGCGGCAAAAGGTTATTTTGTTACGTTACAGTATTGTTACCTTGTATCCAAATGAATAGAAGTTTCAGATGTTTTGGTTAAAATCATGATATTACTAATCTTAAAGAAATTCCTAAATAATTCTTAACATTAAAACTATTTTATTGCAGAAGCATTGCTAGACGTAAACACTTTTCTTCCTGAGAGAATTTATCCTTACAGAGCCAAGCCAAATAAGACAGAACATAAGCAGTTGTACAGTGTAATTCGATGTCAGCTCTTATTACGCACAGCGCGGTGATACTTATCGCGCTATTTAGCTTTAAAAACAAAGTCAAGGTTACTTTGGTTAGGGATGTGAACGGAACTAACAACGTAAGCGAAGACACCTCTTTGGAAAGAACGGTGCACTTAGTCAATATGTCACATTAGGGTAAGAGTTCCTCCCGTTCCCCCATCCCAAATAATATTTATAAATTAATATATACTAAAATTATTAACAAAACCTATTACTAGAGAACTCACAAAAATAACAATATATAAGGTCCTGTATGATAAGGGCCCCAGGCACAGTAATGTTACAAAAGAAATTTGGGGGACGGAAGGAACTCTTTCCCCTCAAATGTACACAATTGTCGAAATAACCCACATCGGCCTAACTGGGCGTTCAGTGGGATGCGTAACAGGATATCCAGAAAAGCATGTTTGCTCGTAAAATCGGGCAAAACAAATGCATGTGCTGCCTACAGGCATAATATGACCAGCCGATGATCGACAGGACTGGATATTATTAATTTTGTAAATTGTTACGACATGCCGTTTGCTTACCCAGTTTAATTCCCCTAAAGGATTATCTTATCTCAGCTGATATCTCTATCCCCAAGCCCGACCCCAACCACCGTCTGTGACACCCGTCCTGTCGCACCATTTGAGACGACCCACCCCGTTTCTTTTTATAGTGATAATGAGACTCCATGGTAGCTACATTCTTGATAGTTTCAGTATTAAAGTTATTTTTTGTTAGCTAAATGAAGCTAAGTAAGTAAGTTTAATTTTAAAATGGGCATTTAAAAAGTGTCCTTCATCGCACACTAATTTGCATAAAGTCATGGTCTTCCAAATAAGTCGCTTTGGACTTAGAGAAAAACCGCATTGGTAATTTCTGAACTAATTTCTCCTCAGTAAAGTCCTTTTTCTACGTTTCCTATCTCCCTACCACCGAGACTGTAGTTAGGTCGAACTTTGTTTAACAGATGTTTCAAACTTTCACATGTTAACAACATTAATCGTAGATATAAATGCGAAAAAAGTGTTTTTTTTACTATTTCCGATAGTACTTTTATGCATTTGCAGTGTATGAAATAAGCCAAAACCCCAGCCAGACATCAGGGCTGGTAACTTCAAAACTGGATATAGCTGTAAATTTAGACCGTCCGTAAGAAATCTAGCCCGTCTGGGGCGGTCGGTCGGGCCTTATTTCATACACTGATTTAAGAAGCATATATTTTCAAAATAACTATCATCGTTTTGCGTAAATAGTTGAAACATCATAAAACTATGTCTAGAGTCGAATAAATGAATTAATTGTAATGAATTCTCACCTGTTTAAGTGAAATTTTCATTTTCCAAATAAATGTGTCGTCTGCCTCCCTTCGAACTGTGTGGAAATAACGCGCACGTAAAACTCGTGCACAGGAAGTGATCCACGATTGGCTTAATTCGTCACACCACTATGACACCACGTGACAAAGTCGGCCAACTCCTGCGTGAAATATACAACGCTTCAAGTGATTTGACATTTGTTTATGTAAACGGTACGTGGAACTTGGAAAAATCTTAGATAGCGGGTTTGACAATATTTTGGACAGTACGTCTTATATTATTAACAGCCACGAGGAAAATTGTCTGTGTGTTTTAACGGTGTAACTGTATTCTTTATCGGGTTAAAAATATGAGTTTACACACCAAACTTTGTTCAATAGACCTACTGGTTGAGCTGACAAAAAGGTGGTTGCTGTACAAGCAAATTTAATGTTTCGAAAAACGCCCGACAAAAACATACTTTCGTCTTTGAATGTGAGACCGAACAAATATCCCCAAAACCCTACCACCAACACCACAACGCCTGTTTATATACTGATGAGCAAAGAACTTTCTCTTGCAAAAGTTTTCATAATATTAACATAAGAAAATATAATCAAATGCAAATTGCCCCATAGTTATTGCCAACAACAAGGGTTCGATTCTGACCAACATCAGCGCTCAAACGCATCTCTTGACAACTTTGCATCGAAAACAGCAAAATGCACGTGTGTTGCAAGTAAGGGTAAAATGCACGTGAATGCATGGTATAAAATCACCTCACAGCACAGAGCAGATCGTACTTCAGCAGAAAACCACTTTACAATGCCGAGGTTATAACTTCAGCAGAGCGAGTGAGGGCCATCGGAATGCTGCAAATGGGCGCTACAACGGATCACGTTGCAAGAACCTTCAATTGCTCCGTGGTGACTGTCAGGAACCTTCGTCGGCGCTACCAACAAACTGGTCAGACCTCAGACAGGCCCCAGACAGGCAGATCCCGGGTGACAACTGCGCAGGAAGACCGCCACCTGAGGACGTTACACCTTAGAAACAACGTCATCAGTGTCAACAGCACTCGGTCACCCAGTGAGTCGAAGGATAGTGTCAAGGAGACTACGGGCCAATAGTATCAGGGCCTACCGACCGTACCGAGGGACGCTGCTGACAGACAGTCATGGTCGCTCGAGTTGTCCAGAACTTTTTTCACGCCAACAACGTCAACGTCCTGCCATGGCCTGCACGATCTCCTGACATGTCACCAATCGAACACGTATGGGACCACCTTGATAGAGTTATTCAACGGAGACAGAATCCACCAGTTACAGTACAGCAAATGACTCAAGCCCTTGTCGAAGAATGGAGGCGAATCCCAGCTGACGTCAACAGACGCCTCACAACTTCAGTCAGAAGAAGTGTGTTTGCATGTATTCTATCTAGAGGTGGACAAACTCGCTATTAGAGACTTCTGTTCACGCTTTGCTGTGTTTCCCGAATGGACCCACTAATCGTGAATTCTCTAGTTTGACCCCATGTTGACCATAACCTGTTCAATAAGTTATCAGGCTTGTTAAAAATCGAACGTTTGTACTTAGTACGTGCCTATGTCATTGCTTCACAAATTATAAATTTCAAACTTCGATTTCTTGTTGTTGTTTTTAAGTGAGATCCTATTGAATGAGGAGAAAGTTTCTTTTGCCCGTCAGTATAGTTTGTTCCCCCAAAAGATGGCACAGACTGTCAGTGGCTGAGCTAGGGCTGAAGATATTTTCAGAGATCCGTGACCAGTTCGGGATATTCCAGAAAAAGCCGAATCGCTTTTTGCAGGTTACAGAAAAGGGGCGAGTGGTGACGAATGTATTTTTGTATATCACGACATTCGTAACCACTGTTTTCGCATCACACAAGAGTGGGTGAGTGAGTTTAGTTTTACGCCGCACTCAGCAATATTCCAGCTATATCGTGGCGGTCTGTAAATAATCGTGTCTGGACGAAACATTCCAGTGATCAACAGCATGAGCATTGACCTACACAATTGGCATAAGATGACATGTCAACTAAGTCATGACATGACCTCCCGATCCCGTTAGTCGCCTCTTACGACAAGCATAGGTTACTGAAGTTCAATTCTATCGTATAGTCGTATCACACAAGAGTGGGTGAGTGAGTGAGTATGGCTTTACGCCGCTTTGAACGCTATTACAGCAATATCATGGCGGGGGTTACCAGGAATGGGCTTCACACGTTGTACCCATATGGGGAATAGAACCTGGGTATTCGGTGTGACGATAAAACACTTTAACCACTAGGCCACCTCACTGCCCCGAATCAGACATGAAGGTGTTTCGTCCCGGTATGAAAGAATGCAAATAGTCGTGATCACAAATTATATAATATCCAGTGTTCAATGTAGTCACACATCCATGTCCAAAAATTCATAAATGAATTATTTATTTTTTTAAATTAGTGATCACATCGCATTAAGGGTAGGCAGGCCATGCCCCAATGAAGCTCAACAACCCACACATTTTCCTGCCTACGCATAACACAACTTGTAGTAAGAGGCGACTAACGGGATCGGGTGATCAGGCTCGCTCACTTAGTTGACACATGTCATCGTTTCCCAATTGCGTAGATCGAAGCTCATGATGATAATCACAGGATCACCTTGTCCAGACACGAGTATTTGCAGAACGCCGTCATATAGCTGGGATATTGCCGGGGAGGCGTTAAACAGAACCCTTTCGACAGAACCTGCGACAAACCAGACCGTCAGACAAGTAAGTGATGGACAAGAAATGGAGTCACGAGGAAGATCGTTTACTGATTTTGTTGGAATTAAACGCAAATTTCTATTAATTTGTAATTAAATAAGCGAGTTAAGAGATTCTGCTGATTGTAAGTAAAGAAAAAGAGATTCAATGCGTATCACTGTTCGTTTGTATTTGTTTGTGTTGGTGGAAGGGGTTGAGCGGAGGGGTTCTGTAATTGTAACTGCACCAGTAACGACTGATTTGCTACGCGACTGCACTAATGACACATCGCCTTCTAATGAACATTCACGCCGTAGCCGGCACCAACGACATCACAACGACACCATTTATTTAACCTTGTAGTGTACGTATATAACGTCATCAACACACACTATTTTAGGAAACACCATCGGTTGTAATAGCCAACACAGAACCACGAAATCAAACACACACCATCTCTCAATTAACCTGAATATTCTAATCGCCGCTCCTACACCATCGTGTTCCTACGAAATGCGTGTGGTAGACTGGTTCGCCTGCCCTGGAGCTCTTGCGCTTCTCACAGGACTTAAATCTTTGCGCACAGCCCCTCGTGTCTTTGCGAAGATTAAAGATTTTAAAATATATTTTTTGGAGATGACCCCCCGACTCGAAATGCTACACACATGCAGTGAAGCAACAATGTCAAAAGCAGCGAAAAACAGGGGTCTGAAACACACCAGAACCATGTTGATTCAAACGCCCAAACACAACAGCCTAGTGCATGTCGAAGACAGACTTCCCATGCAGCTTGAGGCAACTGGACACTGGCAGTTGTGAATCGGTTACGAAGGGCTTGGAGCACAGCATATCGGTCATCTGCCCTTGATGTTTTTCTGGGTATTCCAGAGGGAGGCCTGCCCTGTACTCTACCAATGACCTGGAATCTGTCCCTCAGTTTGTGACTGACACAGGGAAATACCTGAAGACGGCGAGCAGGACTTCTTATGGATTCACCATCCTGTAACCTGTTCTGTAGTCTGTCTCACAGTCCCTGAACCACATTATTTTCCCTACTGCCAAGCCCTCTCTGCAGGCTAAAGCCCTAAATAAAGCAAGTCTAGATTTCCTCAGGTTCTGAATCTCTGGTCCCCCTAGGGCTCCTTTTCAATATAAATGGGCTTGTTTGTTACTATCAAAATTATATATATTCAGAGACTAAGCCTTAGTCTACCTGTTCTGTCGTGAGCGCTTAATGGTCTGCGCTGTGGCATGGTGAAGAAGTTGTGAAGCTTCAATACTGTATGTAGCTTCTTTTAAAGGAAACGTTGCCACAAGCTGCGTGGGAGGTCTGTCTTCCACATGCACGAGGCTGTTGTGTTTGGGCGTTTGAATCAAACACGGTGCTGGTGTGTTTCAGCACCCATGGTTTTCGCTGTTTTTGACAATGTTTCATTAGACTCAAACTCAACAAATATTGAATCAGTGGCTTCACTGCATGTTCCAACATGTCGTTTAAAGTGCCCATTAAGCACACAAAAAGTTGCATTTACCTGAGGGTATAAATGACCTCACCACGGTTAAGTTTATTTTAGGGTGTTCCCATACTTTTTGTTTGCAGTATATGTTGGTTTGGCAACACCGCGTGGGCTGTTTTAACGACATCTCCGTCTGAGATGACTTTAGTGACACTAAACGTGGGACCAAACAAACCAGTGACTGAAAGTATGAGCGTCGATCCACGATGTCAGGTCAACAGGACATGCGGTCGTTTTTTCCGCTAATACAAACAGTGACAATTATTCTTTCAGGATTTCCACAATAGTTGAATGAATTCACGAAGATTTTAAAAGTGCCATACGACCCTTGCATACAAATTATTTGATCAGACAAAACTGACGTCTGACGCTATTCCCTATTTCGACTTGGACCACATAGGTCTGTGTTGTTTAGATAAACTGATGACGTGGCTTCGGGCTCAAGGAACAAACAAACATCGAGGGTACATCAACCCATGGGCCCCGAGGGACCAGTGAACAACGTATTTGTCTTAACACCTCAATGTTAATTTTGAATTTTTGAGGCACTGGTACAAAACTTTTTTGTGATTCAATGTTATTCGAGTTAAAGAATTTCTACCACGAAGTACCAAATGAGTTCGGCATTCCCAGCGGGGTACATAGAAAATGTTACTCGCTTGTAAGCGGGGTACATTGAAAATAATAGAAGAGCGCTCAGCCAATCCGAAAGCGACATATATCTGTGAGGTAAGATAATTACAGTTATATAGCATTACATAGCCTGATATGATGTTGGTTCAGGTGGATGAGAATGCTTGCCCTCCTTGACCGGACACCAGTCACACGAAGGTTATTACGCACTAAGTAGAAGTTTCGCAGGTCATTTCTGAGTGTGGTGTCTAC